TTAATGAAATGTTAAAATGTACAACCCACGTCCTCACTAAACCCTTATCAAAACTCTTCAACCTATTCATCTCTTCCGGCTATTTCCCCCAGCAATGGTGCACAAGTCACATAGTAGCTATTCACAAGGGCGGTGCCAAAGACGATCCAAACAATTACAGGGGGATTTCTGTCACAAGCTGCCTGGCCAAACTGTTTACAACAATCCTGAACACCCGCCTCACCAACTTCTTAGACGAGCATGCACTTATCTCTCCGAACCAAGCAGGCTTTAGGAAAAACTTTGGGACTAATGATAATCTCTTCGTTATCGATTCTCTAATTTCTAAGTATACTAATAATAACAAACGTCTTTATGCCTGTTTCGTCGACTTTAAAAAAGCCTTCGATTGTGTAAGGCGCGGAGGTCTGCGATACAAACTACTCACCTCGGGAGTAGTCTTATAAAATCAATGTATTCCAACTCACAAACATGCATCAAAACCTCCTCTGGTCTAACACCACCCTTTGTCACGGACAAAGGTGTGAGGCAGGGCTGTAATCTCAGCCCGACCCTATTCAACCTGTTCATAAATGATTTAGTCAAGATTTTAGATAGTCCAGAATGCGTGCCACCTTCCCTACATAATTTATTCATTTCCTGCTTGCTATGCAGATGATGTCATGATTTTCTCGGAAACCGAGAAAGGACTCCAATGTGCCCTTGACAAACTAAACACTTTCTGTACAAAATGGAAACTCCAGGTTAACCTGAAAAAGACCAAAATTGTAATTTTTAACAAAACAGGGCGCATATACAGAAATACAAAATTCCTGCTCGGCTCAGAAAATATAGAAAGTACTACATGTACCTCGTACTGCTATCTAGGTCTGTTGTTGTCCTCATCTGGCAGTTTCTCACTAGCTAAAAAACAACTTGCTTTAAAAGCTCGCAAAGCTGTTTTTAGCATCAAATCTCTTATCCGCTCTCAAATCTCATTAAAAGCTTTACTAAGGATCTTCGGCGTGTGCATCAAATCAATAATGTTATATGGTTGTGAAATCTGGGAAAGATTTTTCAAATGACAACTGTCCTATTGAAACTGTCCATAATCGCTTCTGTAAAAACATTCTTGGGGTACACAGAAACGCTAGCAACGGAGCATGCAAAGCAGAGCTCGGTAGACTGTCACTAGACACAGACGTATCGGTACGCCTAGTCAAGTATTGGTTAAGACTGAGGCAACTAGACGCTAATACACATCCCCTACAAGTCGACGCTTTACTATCTCAAAAACATATGTCAATGCTTGGTCACAAGAAAATATGCTACACCATGTGAAAGAAATACTTGACCACAGTGGTTTCTCATATATCTGGCATAACGACAACGTCGATCTCGATAAGCAACACATATGTACATTACTTAGAAGTAGACTCTCTGACATGTATATCCAAACCTTTCTTTACAATCTCTCTGTTGATGTCGGTAAGCTAAGATTTTATAGACATCTGAAACCTGTATACACAATGGAACGTTATCTTCACATCAAAGACTTCGATGTTAGATCTGCCATATGTAAGCTTAGAGTTAGCGCTCATACATTAGAAATAGAAAAGGGTAGATACAAACAATTGCCTGTTAACAACAGAATATGTAAATATTGTACAGGAAACGCAGTGGAGGATGAAATGCACTTTATTTGTCACTGCCCTCATTATAGCACCGAAAGAGATCAGTTATTTGAAATGGTCACCAAAATGTTCCCCAGCTTTATTCACCTTCCCAGCCTACAAAAAATTGCATTTCTATTAACACCTCCCAATTCATATATATCGCAAAATGTCGGCCATTTCATACTCCACTGCACACGGAAAAGAAGTCAAACCCAACAATAATTACAAATGTATATATAAAGTAGCATTAGCATCACTTATCATTCTACTGTTTACTGTTGTTATCATGTTCTTGCAATTAGCCCTCGGGCATGAATTTGCAATAAACTTTCAAAGTATATCATACCCGGGCCGCGATAACATTCGATAACGGGTTCCGGACCGGTCCGTACTTTACGGTACAGCCCGGGCTTCCATGGCTTTCATAGAACGATTTGAATGATCAGAACTCGCTTGGTGTGCGTGGCTAACAAAAAATTTGAATAATGGTTCTCGAACCAAGTTGGCATTTTTTTTCACGATGGCGGCATCTGACAGGGCTATAGTGTTTCAGGATTATGATTTGTCTGCCAGCTTAAAGGAGTACTGACCTCCAGAAGGGGGTGCTATATTTCCCCTTTCCTCCAAATACCCTCAAAACTATCCCAGAATACACCACGCTACCCTATTGGTGTCTATGTTTTAAACAAAAAGTTACGTTACGGACCTCATTTCCGGGGCGATAAGAAAAATTCGTACCGTTTTCTGTTCTTTGGTATCTTACCAACCATTGTCCTTGATGTCCTTATCGCCCCTCATTTATGCCGCAAATATCGACGATGAAAAAAACGGCGTAATATAGTTATCCTTTCTATAAGTGGCGTAATCTAATTATCTGTTCAAGTAATACTTTGAGTTGAGAAAATCAAAACACGCAGGATGAAACTGGCTCCCACTGTATTCGACATCCTGATATTATAATATCCAAGCCACAGGTCAAGCAAAGTAAAGCAAGTAATTTCTCAATAATCAGCTTGTTAGTGTGCTTGTCTCCTACCATTTTTGCCGAAAAATGTGTATGTTGACAAGAAGAAGATGGAGAGCGACACAAGGCAGTTTATCTTAAGGCTATAGCCACACGACGAAGTGCCTTGCGTCTCTAGAGGCCCATGGTGACAACAGGCGCCTGGAAGAAATTCTGCCGGAAGAGCTGGATGGATTGCTAGGAAGCTTCTTCCTCGGGATAAAAAAAGACAGCGGTGAAGATTATGAGCCGGACAGTTTGACTTCAAAGCAGCGGTCAATTGCGCAATACCTGAAAGAAAAAGGATATCCTCTAGATATCATCTGTTCTTTTTCCCGAATTGTTGAATAAAGTTGTTACCGCTGTGTGCATAATAACAAAACTTTTGTGTCTTTTTAGCAAAAAAATTTTGTATTTTCTAGGGTGGGTATGATATAAAAAAATACAACATAGGGTATTCCGCATCGCCCTCGGTCTCGGCCCTCCTGTGAGTTGGATCGCCCTCCGGCCATCCGACTCGCAGTCGGGCTGATACCTCAGGCGATACGGAATACCCAGTGTTGCACAATGTATTCTATATGTATGCTTTTTTGATAACTTTTTTCAATAACTTTTTTTTTAATAACTTTTTTTATGTCACAATCTGTTAACAGTCTGTATGGCCTCTGTAAATGATGAATAATCATTCATGCTAGAACTTGAATGTGTTTTACATGTAGCTCCTTTCTCGGATGTTTTGGGAACACCAGTCCTTAGAACTCAACAAGAGCATCAGTAAAAAACAGCATGGACTGACATTGCTGAACGTGGTGAGTCACAAGGTTCCAACCGTGTCGGCCAAGTTCCAGGAGTCACTGGAGGAGCTGCTGGAGGAAATATCCAAGTGAGTTTTTGTAATACACATACCATACATGTACATGCTATGTGTGTTAGAGGCATGATTATCATCAAATGATACATGAAATTCACTAACAGGTCTCTAACTTCTGAAATGCACGGCAAACACTTAATATGTAGACAGATGAGACAGATGTACATTTTGAAGACTTCTAATGAAGTAATAATCCTGGATTTAACGATTTGTAGTCTTTATCTTTGACCCGAGCAGAGAATGACCTTGCATAATGTATTTTCACCAACATACATATACCTTGTATTGTAGACATTCACAAAAACTCTTTCCATACATCTGGGAATAGTTTCATTGGGTTGGTAAGTTAGTAGTAGGTCAACGTAGTGGAGTTACACCACTCAGGGTTATACTGCCCCTTAAGGGAGACAGACCCTTTCTCAGGCTGTTACAAGACGGAGTTGCCAGGGCTTCCATCAGGGTGATGATGTAACCACTGTGTGGCTATTAGAGATGGGGGGTTGCCAAGCCTCCATCCAGGTGAATCACCAACTTCCAGGTACATCGTGTACATGTAGTAATATTTGGATCATCACACACTGGGGCATGCCCCTAGTCTGCCCCTAGCTGCAGTGGGAGTGGCTCTTCCGCCTTCAGCTAGCTTTAGCTGGCCTTAATGTCATATCATTATTGTCCTGAAGAAGGCAGCAGAAGGACTTGCTTGTCTTTAAAATTGTCCTTGCTTGTCTTTAAAGAAACCCACTATCCAACTTGTTCCATACAATTTCCTATTAATTGGATTAAGTTGTCTAAGGTTGCTGATGAAACTGAATATTTACCTAATAATACATCAACATTAATGACAGAAAAGAAATCATTATGTTATAACAATATGTAGTAGGAATGTGATTTATTCATTATAAAATTGGTTGACAAACTTAGAATAAGTATGATTCTGTACTCTTAGTATAATAACTGTGTTGAAAGACATGATATATCTTCTTGTATTCCAGGTGTAACCCATTATTTGTTAGATGTGTGAAGCCAAACACATCCAAGGTAGGTACAGCCCCTGGTGTCTATTGAATAAGAACAAGAGTTCTGAGAGCTCATACCTCCATGAAATATGGGCTTGATATGAAATGTAAATTTCTTCCTTAATTTATTATTTATTTATTTATTTATTATTTCTTTATTTCAGGCATAACTCTCCCATATACAACATACATATAAAATACACACACAATTACATCAATAAAAGAATAATATGACTATATGTACAGACGGGCCCAGTTATTGCGAAAGAATCTGATGCGGAATATCACTTCAGATTGAATATCACTTCAGATTTGCGTCATTATTTAATGATGCGAATGACCTACATTAACATAATACATGTATATGCATCGTGACGTTAACTTTTGATTAACTTACACATGTCCCAAGTATGAAATTCCCATCATTTACCACTAAGGAGAAATAGAATTTTCAGATTAATCATGCAAACTAGGTCAATTTCCAGAATTGGTATCTGTTGATATTCCACCTACTGTAGATTATAAACATTACATGTATCAAAGTCTCATAATGTAAAACACTGGAATTACAGAATTTCCTAATTAATAATGCAAATGAAGAAGTCATCATTTGCATAATTTGCATCCAATAGTGTAGATCTCTGTCTAAGCTACCCACATACCAAGAATCATAAGAATACATTGTTCCTATGTGAATTTATCCACTCTGAAAGGTTTTGCCAGAAATCTCCTGCAGTTCCAGAACAACCTACATGTACTAGGGGGACAAAACCAACACCAATTGAATACTGACAGGAAAGCTATCTGCCACTCAAAAATCAAGCAAACACCTACATTAACATGATATATGCATAGTGACCTTTAAGTAACTTACACATGTCACAAGGTATAAAATTCCCATCATTCAACATTAATAAATAGCAAAATTTTCACATTAATTATGCAAATTAGGTCATTATTTGCTTAATTGGTATCTGTTGATGTTTCACCTGCCATACATTACATACATCATATGTATGAAAGTACTATCATTTAAAACACTGTACAGAATTTCCTACTTAGTCATGCAAATTTAAAATGATGAAACTAAGTTGTTTCTTTTTTGACTTATCCGCTTTAAAAGTTTTTACCAGAAACTCCCCTGCAGTTCCAGAACAAGCTGCTAGGGGGACAAAACTTACACCACTTATTCCTAACAGAAAAAGCTATCTGTAACCAAACATAGAAGACGATAGCATGAATGAATGAGACTTTATTTCCGTGTCGTGCGCTATCCCGCGCCCAGCCCGTGTGGGCTTATACGACACCGATTCAATAAGTTAATAATATACATTGTACATAAACAAAAGAGAATCAAAGGTACAGATAACAGAATCCAAACAAAATATGAACACAAATAAAGGTAGGCTATATACAATAATGGTGAACAAAGTGAACTCATAACAGATCGTAAGGCCACACCAATTTAATTTCTTGGTTAACGGATTTTTCTAGAAAAATAATGAAGCGGGCGGGCGAAAAAAAAATAAAAATAAAAACAGGCCTAGGCATCCTATTATGGCCCAAAATGGTACGATAGGAGCCATGAAGTCAACACACCAGGCTGGTTCAAAATCTAAACAATGAATTTTGAACTTTTAATGATACTCCTGCATTGAAAGATGGAATAACTGTAACAACTAGGAAGAAAAGGACTGTTTTCAACTGTTCAGGGCAAAATATGAGCATTTTGCAGTTGATTCTGAATTTTTATTTTTATTTGCAAATCAGAAAAAAATGAAGCGGCGAATCCGTTAACCAAGAAATTAAATTGGTGTGGCCTAAATGCAAATAGACAAATCTGTACATAATGAACCAAGATCTCACAAAATAAATACAAGTACATAAGGTAAATCAAACATAATAAGAGAAACATATGTGTTATCAGCCTAATAAATCAAATCAAATCAAAACAAACGTGCAGAAGTAACAAAAAGTGACAACTGTTGATGTGCATGTTCAGGACAAAAGATACAAAAACCGGAAGTTCTGCTGCAGTACCAAGCTCATCCACCAGGACCATATTTGACCTTGACATTTGTCTTCCTAAGACCTACCAACATACCAAATATTACTGATCACAATCCATAAAGGCAAAGGTCAAGGTCAAATACTAGTATTGGCCTCCTGGTGGCTGACCTTGGTACTGCAGCAGAACTTCCAGTTTTTTATTCTTTTGATAATATGCATTTACAAAATGTTATTGTCTACATTTCTGTCTTAAGCTACCTGCATTGTACATGCCTAAAATCATCAATATCTGTTGTTCCTTTTTTCACTAATCCTCTTGGAAAGATTTTGACCAAATCATCCCTGCAGGTTCAGAACAAAGCTACACCACTTAGATGTATTTCTGACATGATAAGCCATCTGCTACTAAAAAATCAATTGTATATAGCATATCGAAGTTCAGTTTGGAATTTGGAAAATGGAATTTCTGCTGCAATACCAAGGACAGCTGCCAGATGTCCCTCATTTGACCTTGACCTTCCCAAGACCAACCACGTACATCGTACCAAATATTCTCACAAACCATCCAGGCGTTCTTTAGTTGTGCTAACCACAAATATGTGGAAACATGCAATTAACTGGAGTTCTACCACCTCATACCTTTGCCAAATGATGTTCTTTTGGACAAATTATATGACGGACAAATTATAGATGAATCCCCTTGATTATGCAAATAGGATCGTCATTTCCAGGAATTATAGCAGTTGATGATATTCTCCACCAATAGTTACACGTGATACCATATTAATTATGAATGCACCCTTATCTCCATCGTTATAAATCTTGTAGATGAGGTCCAAATTTCAATGTTTAATGATGTTCTCTTACTTACAAATGGAAGTATGATATTCAAGGCAGTTATCACTACAGAATTATTATAATAGCATTTTCTCATTGATTATGCAAATCAGGTTCTCATTTACGTAATCAACATCTGCCGATGTTTCACTCATTCTCAATTACATGTATCACTAGTTTGAATAGTCCTATGGAACATCCTAAGGAACGTAATAGATTTAACTTTATAGAATTTCCTCATTGATTATGCACCATTAGCATAATTGTCATCTACTTATGTCAAGCATCACTTTAGCTACATACATATAAAAAATCATGACGATCCATCAACCATCAACCTGTTCTTGAGTTATCCTCCAAAGATTTGTAAACAAGAATCCGAGAACCAACTCTAGTGTACAGTAATTAATTTGGTGTGACCTTAGGCAGGTTACGTAATTAATGTGGTGGGTATGTCTGTGGGTGGTGTGTACATGTACAATGTATGTTGGAATGTAGGTTGACAGCACGTTGCCATAAATCATCAAACATGAAACATCATGTTAAAGGCATCCAGTGCACTGGCAGGACAGCAAAACAAAAAAATAATTCTGGATGAGGAAATCTGCACCTTTTCATCATGATTTCATACTTAAACATTTGAAATAGTTCAGAAACAGGCACTTTATTTTTGGTTACTGCCCATAAATTGCTGGAACAAGCTTACAATACCACACAAGCAAAAAATGGTCTGTTTGCCATCAGTGCCAATATTGATTCAAATTACTACATTAAAATGATGACAGGAAAATTGACCTTGAGTTTTGCCACCCAGAAAATGAGTATAGATAGACAGGTTGTAAAAGATGCATTTTTGATGTGTTTGTACGGTTACTTCCAACCTGTAGGCTGCACTGATGTTTGATACATCCATCGTGTTGGAGCAGCTAAGGAACCTTGGCATATTGGACACCATCCGCATCCGCAAAAAAGGCTTCCCCGTTCGAATTCCATTCAAGCAGTTTGCTGACAGGTTTGTTGTCTAATAGCAGTGGTAATCAAAGATTACAGTAAATACTTGCATGAATTTCTCCCTTTATACTCCTGAAGAATATGACTTCTCCTTGCTGTCGTGTGATGAAGCAGCAAGGCTTGAATTGCCATTTGCCTTCACATAACATTGGAGGGGTGCATGTTATTTTCACTGCACTTGGACCAGTCCAAGTGTCCTGTATACAATGTACCATCCGTTTTTATCACTGACCGAAGTCAGCGAGTGCCAGGAGTCCCATTTCAAAATGGATGGTAGCTAGGCTACAGTGAAAGTAGATTTACAGACTTTCAGTCACTAGTAATGTCCAGTTAAGATATGGAAATTAATATTAAAAACAAAAAACAGTTTCCTGTTTATCATTTCAAGGAGAAAATGTGTTTTTGGAGACAGTGTTTACTTGTTTGCCTCCTGAAAAGAATTTTACCTTAAGAATCAAAAAGAGTCTAATAATAGTAGGTTTTCTGTCAAGTGTACAACGTAATGTAACACGGAAGTGCACGGAGTCGGAGTCGCGGCACGGCTTTCTGTCCCACTCTAAACAAAACCCCAAGGACATAACAAAACTCCCCAAAACTGGTCAATAATTAGCCATAAAAATGTTTGTGGACACGTGTAAATATGCTGCCTTTTTTCGAGTGTTATAGGAATTATTCGCGATGTTTTTGCACATCCCTAACGTTACCTCACGCCGGGCCCGCCGCCTATTATGTACGGCGGACCGGGGTATTTATAACTTCAGATCATCTAGGATTGTATATTCGGTGGTAAAATAAGTAAACAAACAGAGAAAAGCAGCAAAATAAAGTTGACAAACTATAGAAACGCTTGCATGGGCAACACTGACAAAAGAAAATGTCGATCTAATTGATGCGCCGGTTTTAAACGTTACTGTTATATAGTAAAATGCGGGCTATATCAACGTTCCTTCCGCTGTTCCAGCGGTGTGTATCGGTAATTTCCCGCCCCGCATGAGGTAAATTAGTACTCCTCCCACTATTCCTGTGATGTTACCGCGCCTGCATATGAATGGAGAAGTCTGACGAAAAAGAAACGCGTTACTTTCGGAAAAGTAACGGAAAACTTTCGGAAAAGTAACCAGTTAATAACGGAAAACTAACGGGAAAAAAACGCGTTAGTAACGGCCGTTAGGGTAACTATAACGCGAACGGTACTGTACCTTGAGAAGAAACTTGGCTGACTCCATTTTTCTTGAACTCTCCTTGAAAGCAAAGTCAACATGTGTCATTAACATTGGACCAATCAGGTTAATTGGACTTGACATTCCTGAGGAGTATCTTGCTCAGGTGACTTGCTGAGAAGTGAACTTTCTTGTTTATATTAAGAATCTGTATACTATTAGCCAATATAACCGCCTTTTGGTGTAACACAACAGCTTCGCAGGCGCAGCGGCAGCTGGCTACATTACACCGATTGACTTGTTACACCAAAGCCTTGAACATCTAACTCTAGACATCTTTTAAAGCTATCTAATGACAATGCCCCTACTGTACTTGGTGACAGTGAGTTCCACTCTGCTCTCTAGGAAAGAATGAATTCTTGAACACCTCAATCCTTGGTTGATAACTCTGGTACTTGAAGGCATGGCTATTTCTTGTTCTCTTCTGGGTTGTATTCATTGTACATACATACATCTGTATCCGTATAGCCGGTATTACCGCCCTTCGGCGTAACACACCAGCTTGTGTTGTGTTACAGTACATACATACATACAATGTCTTAACAATGTCTGGAGTTAGATGTTCAAGGGTTAGGTGTAACAAGTCGAACGGTGTAATGTAGCCAGCTGCCGCTGTGCCGCGTGCCTGCGAAGCTGGTGTGTTACGCCGAAGGGCGGTTATACCGGCTATACAGATACAGATACAAATACATGCATATATACATAGTACTGTACATATTTTAAATACATACATACACACATGTGCACCTTTACTGAATAATGTAATTCGATCAAACCAGCAAGCTAGGGAGGAGAAGTCACAAACCGGCAAGGAGAAGTCATTTGTCGTAATCCTTAATGTAACAATGTTCAGTTCAGGTTGCCCAGATGAAATAGCAGATAAGCTTCAGGGATAAGAGAGTTAAAGATTAGGCTGTGAAACTAAGAAAACTGTTAAAATGCTTGTTCACTGTTGTTTTCATTTTGTATCATAGATACAAGTTCATGATTGGTGAGCTGAGCCCAGACTCAGATCCCAGAGGGGTGTGCATCATGATTCTGGGCAAGTTGGGAAGCCACTTTGCTGACCAGTTTCAGCTGGGTCAGTCTAAGGTACACTAACTATCAAGTTCAAAATTAAACAGTTACATTATCAGGTAATACATGTACATGTATGTATTGTTGAGTTGCTTTGTTATTCCTCAAAGTAGTTTGTTACTCTTATGTTACATGTATGTGGCACTCTCAATCCTGCCTGCATTAGCGACAGAGGACAACATGGGAAATATCTGAAGACCATTTTTTCCTTTGGAATCTACTGTTACAGTTACTCCCCGGTAGTAACAGTACAATAGTTGAAGTGATGTCTGAACCAAGTAAATTGAATTCCACAACCTCATATCTTCAAGGCAAATGATGTTAATCTTTCAGGATGACATAAAAAGGTTACTCCTTGATAATGGAAATAAGATGCTTTAATATTTGATTCTTCAACTCTCTGTAGAACTCAAAGGGATTATCATTGAAATTCCAAAATGTTTGATGCACATAGTAACTTGTAAACTGTATTTGTCTTACATGCCTTCTGCCCTCCTCTTAGTGCTGTATCAAGAGATAAAGGGCTGACCTTGAGCTTTATCCAAGCAATGTTTCATCTTTATGAGCAAGATTTAATTGTAATTTCCAACACCAAAAATTGGACTCACCCAAATTTTCGACTGTACAACTCCAGTTTTTGTCAAGGAATGAGCAATACACCGCTTCCGTGACATCATGCAGATAACACATAGAAGAACTTTATTGCACGACAATTGCACATGGTACAATGTATGGCAAACTACATAAAGAGAGTAACAACAATAAAATAAGTGTGTTGAATAAGACCTAATGTCGAATAAAACCTAACATATCTATATCATAATTATTCAAATAATAAGGGATAGCACAAGTCTTTGATAAAGTGTTACAATCGAGTGGGCTAATCACAAGCTTTGGTATTTTTTCTAATAGCAAAGCCTTCCTTTATATACCTACCTATTTTTGCGTTGTGAGGACCATTACATGTAAAGATATATTCAAATCTGTCTCCAACATTGAGACTCTTGAAATCTATGATACTTGATTCGAGAAATGCAAATAGCTTGTTACGTCTAACATCATATTTGGTACATTCCATAACAAAATGAAATTCATTTTCTATATGCTTTGGACAAAATGGACAGAACCTTTGGTCAGGGGCTATATTGTAATATCTACCTGTTTCAATATTCAATTTATGGCTACTGATTCTTAATTGAGTTATTGCTTTACGAATTTCAAAGTTATCTATATCACAAAGGTATGTTTCTTGTTAATAACAATTTTTTAATTTGCTAAGAAAAGACAGCTTAGAATTATTTCTAATGCATCTAAACCACTCTTGTATATGTGTATCTTGTAGCCGGTTGTGAAGATGGTGTGTAATATAATCTGCTTTATAAGCTTCAGGTTTCATCCATATATGTCCAAAGCCGTAGTAGTTGAGAGTGTCTCTAACATGATTAATCCAGTCGTGGTCATCAGTAAATACAGTTTTGTATGCATTATGAAGCAGAGAGTCCTTGGGTAAGTTTATCAAACGCATGTGACTCCATGAGCAGTGGATCATAGGTTTCAGAAAGTCTGTGGAGACCTCTGTCTCTGAGGGATGTTGTAATGCCATGTAAATGGCCTCTGACTTCATCCAATGAGACTGAATGTCCAGGTGATTCAATATTGTATGTTGTGAGCCCTTAGTTCTGTCCTTGACACTGTATATGGTAAACTACACCACTTTTACTCTCCTTCAGTGTTTTGTCCTTGGGTGAAACCAGTATATTCCGGAGGGTTCTAGTTGGTCTAAAATAGGTCTTGATCCTGTGTGTGGCAAAAGTCCTCCTAAACCCTTCACTCATGTAGGGCAGAATGACTAGACCTCTGTTCTTGCCCGTTACTCTGATTCTGGTTACAGTTTCTGGGGTTTTGGTCTTTTAGCCCTCAACAGAGACAGAGGTTGCCACAGACTTTCTGGAACCTATGAATGATCCACTGCTCACGGAGTCATGTGTGTTATCTGCGTGACGTCATTGAAACAGTGGATTGCTCATTCCTTGACAAAGACTGGAGTTGTACAGTCGAAAATTTGGGTGAGTCCAATTTTTGGTGTTGGAAATTACCAAGGCAGACAAACTTTCAAGATCATCTTTCAGCTTGTAATGTTATATAATAAAGATGACTTCAAACCCCAAGACAAGTCTTGACCTACTGAACACTAGGTTGCAGGCTTAAATCCTGGCATTTTTCCTTTTTTATTTAATAACAACCTTGTTAATATGTTTAAAGTTAAAACTTCAGATCCAACACAAAAAGTTCTGTCACCTAAAGCTTTTGAGCAGTCACTCTGGTCTTCCTCAGTAGACTTACCCAGTGAAGCTTGTCACATGGCTTCTTTAAAGTGTCAACACTGGGTCAAAGGTATCTAGTAGACGATGTCAGCCCCTGTCGCGGTTAAGTGAAGGGTGATGGGCCCTGATGTAAATAGACTCCTTCACCCCTCTCAAGAAATAGTCTTGTTCAGTGTCCAAAATTCTTACAGTGTCAAGTCAAGTCAAGGCTCTAGGTGAGAGAACTTTGTTGAAATAATAATAAAAATAATGGATCTAAAGTTTTAACTTTAAACATGTAACTCCCAACACAGATGAACTTTCATGATAACCTTCAAGTTGTTAATACTTAGTTATTATTGCCAAGGAATGTCAATGAAGTAAAATTTTAGTCTTTATTTCGTTTGTAGAATACTTGTCACTGAAAAGCACTAAATGGGGAAATGGAATAGTTATCAGGGACACTCGCAGCAGTATAATAAAGGAGACTGGATAGTGAGTGAGTGAGTGAGTGAGTGAGTGAGTGAGTGATAGGTAATGTTACATGTCAGGCATTAAACCATTGATACTGTTTTGGCTGTACATACAGTGTAAGCATATATGGCATGGGAAAAGTTAGGATGACCAGAAAATGCAGTGCCTGGGTTAGACATTGAAGTGCCTTGTTTCAAACTAGACTAAGTGACCGTTAGCAGAGCATTATGAAGACAGGTGCTTTACAGTTACTTCATGCTAATCTACATGTAATATGCATGCTTTGTTGTGCAGGTGTTCCTGCGGGAGGTTGTGGAGCATCACCTGGAGACTGAGCGCAGTCGGATTCTCAACCAGGCAGCAACTCAGGTACAGAGAGTCTTTCGTGGTCATATGGCAGTACAGGCCTTCAGCAGGATGAAATCTGCAATTGTCACCATCCAAGCAGGAATTCGCATGGCAAAAGTCAGGTAAGGCATCCTTGTTTTCTGTCTAGAATTTATAATCTACCACCAAAGTCAGCCACCAGGATGACCCATAATTTAAATTGACCTTTGTCTTCCTACGACCTACCAACATAGGGCCCTGTCACACTTCTGCGAATAGCAATTGCGTATGGGTTGCGTACAGACATTTATGTTGTACGCACAATACGTGAGGGTACTGTGAGGCACATGTAGCGTATAAATAAGGAATTCAGCGCATAGATTGCATATGACATCCGTATGGCGTTTGCATGCATTGCGAAGGCCAGGCGTATTCCGGACGCACTCAACATATTCCCACCGAATGCCTAACGCACTTCCGACGAATGCCAAGCGTCTTGTGTACGTATTCCCCGCTGCTTCCTGCTGTTTCATTCGCAGCGAGTCATCATGGGCCACCCTCAACTCAGATAAAATGTGTCTGTTTCCATTTCGCCCCAGCCCTGGTCAATTTCCTGTAATATCTTGTCAGGTAAATTAAATTCCCGTACCCGGACTTTATACAAACATAACAGTTAGACTGTTAATAGCCTTGATGAATTGGAGATGTCAAGAAATACCCTCCCTTAATAATTTAAAAATAACGAATTCGAAAATAGGCATACTTGCAAATACAGACAATTGACAATTGTGCATACACACAGATAGCATGGACACTACACATCTCTGCGAACACTACAATCTTTATATATCTACCAACACTACATTACAACCACAGTTCAAAGCGGCTACTGTTATAAGTCCATAATCTCTAGATGTTTCACGACATTGAGTTTATATTCGCCCAAAGCTTTTATGCTCCTACATTTTTACAAACTATTTTGTACCCATCTACGTACACTACACATTTTCTCCGGCAAAAAAACCCAGGCAACTGGCGTATCATCCCAAAGTACAGGCAACAAAAAGCAAATATTTTATGTTAGATATAGGTATATTGATAATATGCAAAATGGCCAGTCCTATCATCATTTTTGGGGAGGCGGTACAAGGGTGTTCTTTTGTGTTAAAAAGTGTCAAAATGCATTTTTGTGAAATATTGCACTTTGGGAAAGACATTTTCCCAATGATCACCTACTTTTCAGCAAAACATATTAGAAACAGCCAATCTCCAGAAGGTCTGTTAACCATGGGGTCTAGAGGAGCCGGTACCCCGGGTGTAGCCCAGGTGTTCGGTAAGTTCGCTATCTATATCTGTACGCAACCTTTGCGCTTCTCTTTAGTTACAAATACGTACAATGCGCTGTCCTGTTGCAATACCAACGGTACTAAAGCGCTGTAAGTACGCAATGCATTTGTCTATTGTACGAAGCTTATGCACAGGTGCAGTTCCAGGTGCAGATCAGCGTATGGGCCGCGTGTCCCCCACGAAAAAATAGTGTACTCATACCGTGCTTGACCGATGCATTGTGTATTAAAAACGCATGAACTGCGTAACGGCGTACGCAGCGTAGTTTTGGGCATGCTCAAATCTACGCTGCGTACTGAGCCGGACGGTGCGTGTGCTGTGCGTATGCCGGCGTTCACAAAACTTACACAAAACGACTGAGATGCATATGAAGTGCGCAGTTTGCGTACGGCTGCGTATGAAAAAAATGCCCGTACGCAACTCATACGCAAGACGATTCGCAGAAGTGTGACAGGGCCCATACCAAGTATCATCGCAATTCATAAAGTTGTCTGAAGTTTCGTTGACTACAAACATGCAGAAACACACAGACACACACACACACACAGTACCTCGTAAAAATCCATGGTAGCACTGGTCCCTCTCAGTAGCAGAGGGGATGAGGTCAATTATAGCTATAACTTGACAGTGCTTAACATATCCCAAAAGTTGCAAATTGGTAGCTACTCATTTCATTTAAATAGTTTGTGCTTGCCATAAACCTTTTAATCTTTTAATGCTGTACATTTAAGCATGAATTGCAGAGGCTTCAATTGGGATTTCTACCAGCAGACACTTCAATTGCAGTTTAAGACGCATGATTGTGTTTTTCTAGAGAAACATTTCTGGAGCTGAGGAGAGCAGTGGTGCTGGTACAGGCTACATGGAAGATGATCTTACAGAGAAGGCGATACATCAAGGTTTGTAACTTTGAACTACCGGTCAATACATCTTGGGGCTGAGGGAATAAATGTAATGCAGAATACTCAAAGCAGTTGGTGACGTCAGGACTGCAGGCTTTAAGCCTACTACATTGTACTGTATTAGATTTCACCCATTTGCACTGGATGCCATATTGCCATAAATGATTGTGTAATATTAAAGTAAACATAGGTATTGGCCAGGATCCCCAGTACAGAAAATAACACAATTATAGCAATATAAACCCCATTCCCCATGGGTTTACAATGTAAGAGTGGCTGTCTACACCTTCTTGAGTTATAGCCTACCAAATTGTCCCCTGCAGCTCAAAAAAAGCTGCTAGAGGTCCCAAACCTATACCATTTTATTACTAGGCCAAGAGTACATTGTTGTCATCTCCCATCCTGCGTGTCCAAAACTGGAAATTCTGTTGCAGCACCACAGGAGGCTGCCAGGTGCTCCATAGTCCAGGTTCCTTTTACTGACACCCACCCACGGTATGACTAAATACCTTAACCGACAGCTTCCTGGTCTAATATGAAGTGTACATGGGTTATGAACTCTTCTTTACACTCTGGATACATTGTCTAATAGTATGTAATTATGAATAGGCAAAACACTGTGACTCTGATTTTTTTACCTTTTTTTTTCTGGCGTGCCCTCCACGGAACAGTTCGTTTATGTCGAGCCACCAGAACGTAGAGCGCACTGAATTTTTTGTAAAAATAAAGCAAGTAAAAAGCTTATGCAGCACAGAAACTCATCAGATATAATACAGGGAAACTTCTTTTTTAACATGTTTAATGGATTTATTTGGGTATTTTGCGGGTTGTACCACTCCATATTTCTGTTCCGTTCTGTTTAGTCATCCTTGTCAGAGGTGAAGCATGATATCATGCTTTTTCTATTAGCTATAATGCTTGCGTGTATGTAGGGGGTGATGATGTAAATCACTGTGTGGCTGTATGAGACGGAGGTTTGCCACCCGCCCGGGTGATTTGAAGTGAATCACCAACTTCCAGACAGTAGTATTTGAACCATCGCACACTGGGACATGCTCCTACCCTTTTTTGAAAGATGTGGTGGGTTCTTTAACATGCGTGGAGTGTGGCTCTTCACAAATACGGGACCTCCATTTAACATCCTATCTGAGGGACATCCCTAACCAAAGCTAGCTACTCATTTTCACCTGAGCGAAGTGAGGAAAGTCGTGTAAAGTGCCTTTCCCAAGGGCACAAGATAGGTGACAAGGTGGGGTTCGAACCTGGGATCCCTTGGTTCCGAGCCGAAGATGCTACTGCTACGCCACACAACCCCACTCCCTAAAAAAGACGATAACCTAGTAATCAAACATTTTTGACTCCACTTATGATCTATTAGAAATTATAAGTTAAAAAACTAGAAAATACTTATGTGTTACTGTATGATATCTATTCATAATCACATAGACAATGTATCCAGAGTGTTAAAAGGGTTCATAAGCCCATCCATGTACACTATATATTAGGCCCAGTTGAGGTCGGTTGAGACCGGTTGAGGTTGGTTGAGGTATTTATACAGACCCCACCCACACATATACCAAATATAAATATCCCTCCACAACTTCTGGAGTTGTGCTAAATGTATTCACAAACAAACAGGCAGTCACAGACACACACTCAAACAGCAAAGAAAACATAACCTTGGTGTATAGTAAGAACAACTTCAGACATATTTCAAAGTTATATACCCCCAGTACCCTGGGTTGTTCTGACATCTTCCCACTCTCTTGCATGACATTGTATATCATTTGCTTACTAACACCTGTATTCAGATTCATGTCATTGGACTTACATGTAGATACAGTGTATCAAGCTCAGGAACAATTATACATTTTTTAGTGAAGATGGCAAAAAATGCCATTGAATCCAAAATTTGAAGAAAGGCAAGATTGCATAATCCCTCCCGAGCTTATGTAACCCAATACAAAGCTGTACTATTTTCTGACAGGTGTGAATACAAGACTTAACTCCTTTAGAATTATAACAGAGACACATCAGAACTTAAATCCACAGAATTGTACTGTCCAAATAACAGTTAAGTGAGACAGGTGGAAACAGGGTCATTTTTGAAAAGTGACAATAAGATGCCACAATAATGTGATCCAGCATTCCTCCAGGCATGACTAGTCATGCATTGTTCCCTCAATATTACAACAGGGTGGGGCTGCCAGGTCTTATCAGTGAGCAGCTGTAGTGTTTAGTGTGTTTAAGTAAACACACCAGTAGCCACTGCTATTCTGTGTTGTTTCAAGGTGGGACCTAGAATATATTGGGGGTAAAGGTCGTTTCTCTGCTTTGCCCATGAAGCATAAGTCTTTGTAACTCCAAGTAGCATTGAGAAATGGGTAAGTAATATAAAGAAGTTGTTTCCTTGTGGTGCTGTGCTGGGTTGAGGCCAGGTAACCTGACTCCTGCTGGAGATGTGGTTGGCTAAGGTGCATGCTAATGTTTGACCTGCAGTGTAAACAGAGCAAACACGCCACAGCACTTTCCTTCCTGCAGCCAGAAGTTACGCCATATTGTGTCAACCAGGTGTGCCTTCCTGTTCACAGGTGGCTGACATGTTTCTTGGTTGAGAATGTTTAGAGTACTTTACCTTGTTAACAGCTTACTTGTATTGTCATTACATTGTTAAACTATGTATATTTTTTGTAATTTCTCACTTGGTAGTTTAATACTGTAATCCTGAAGTATGTTCCCTGAGGCCATTCTGGATGTTTGAGTATAATGGTGGCATTGTTGTATTGACATTTACAGCAGATATGTTCCTCTATCATACATACATCTACAACTCATAGCTGTAATTCTGGTGTCCACTTAATGTCATACATGTACATTTTATAATGTTATCATCACAGCTTCATGAAGAGGCTCAAAAGCAAGCAGAACTGAATCGGCTGGCACAGGAAAAAGCTGACAGACTTGCAATGGTAAGTCTTCTCTGTCAAATTTGGGAACTGTCAAATCATCCACATATACATTGTAAGTTAAGTTATGTAATCATAGATTTTGATTACCTACTGATTACCATCAGTGGACTAGCCCAATGGGAAGGGGTGTTACTGGAGTTATCAGGCTGGGTTCACATTCCTGACATGAGCCTGACCAAACCTTAGCCTGCAGAAATGCCTAAACTCACCAATAACATAATGAAGTAAACTACATTGTATGTTTATGATAGTTGTTATGCCACTTAAAGTCGTTTAATGTATTTCTTGAATGTTGCAACTTCTTGTTCTGTTTCTTATGAGTTCCAGAAAGGCACATTGTATTCCATCATTTGTTTTGTTTGCAACTTGCTGTGTTTTTAAGCAACAATTTTATACAGAATGATTAACATTACAAGCTCTCAAGCTATCTTTAGATTCATCATTAACATTGAATTATTTCAGGTTTTGTAACTGCTACTTTCTATGGAAAGGAAATTATCTAGGGTAATCAGATATTGAAGATTATACTGCCTGAGTAAAAGTATGTGTTTTAGGCCTTTCTGTAAATGATACATACAATCATGTAGAACTCCCTCTCTCTCTCTCTCTCTCTCTCTCTCTCTCTCTCTCTCTCTCTCTCTCTCTCTCTCTCTCTCTCTCTCTCTCCCCCTCCCCCATGGGCTTGGTTGTTGACCAAATTAAAGTTCCACACACATTTGGCTCCCTATGATGATGATATTACATTTACACGTTTACAAGCACAACCATGCATGCACAGAACCCATTTTTCATCTGTATGCCTAGATAGCAAGATATTGTATATTACAGGTAAGCACTGCTGTGACTACATTGCACCTTGACATAATCTTACCCAGACACAAGAATGAATGTGTATATAAATGTATTCAGATCAATTTATCTCCTCACTTTTGACATGCTGCATTATGGGCTTCAGCAAAACAGGAAAAAAGAAGAGGTTGGTTGGTTGGTTGCAATAATAATCACACACTGTTTGGTAATAAACATGTACATGTATGATAACAGGTATCAGTGGTGGTAGGCTACATTCCTTTGTGATTCTGTGAACTCAGTTTAACGTTAGTCTGCTGTATCATACACTAATATCAAAACACAAACTGCAGTCTCGGTGCAAGGAAAGATTCCTGACAATCATAGTTTCATACACTGAGCATATATACTGTGAACTCAATTCACTGTCAGATTTCCGAGAAAATTATTATACTTTAATGATATGGATACTGAAGTCACCTGGTCGACAATGTACAGTGCAATGTGTAAGGATGGGGAGTGGGGCAAGCTGGCTTAGAGCCTCACTCCACAGTTACTCAAGTTATGAAGTATAATGCTAGGGGGAGGGCCAAGAAAAATGGCCAGAAACGAACAGCACCACAGCCCCTCATGAAGTAGGCTGTATAGTAACACTGTTCATGAATAGCTGTTTCCTACCCTATGTTAAATGCTCCCTGGCAGCTCTACTGGTTTCAACAGTTGGTTTGTGAATGCTCACTGTGACGCCACTGGCATTTTCATGAGCTATGTCTTTGACCAGAACATGAAAGTTACAGCTGGTAATGTGCGTCTCACAGAACATTGCCTTTCCAACCAAAACTGAACAGTGTGCTTAAGTGTACATGTATGATTGTCAGGAATCCTCTTTCAACGAATGAAGTACACAGTTTGTTTAGTGTTCAAACAAATTTGCAGCAATTTCAACAAGTGGCCATGGCCAGACCAAACTGGATTCATTTATAAATTAAGCAGCATTGCAAGAACTTTGTTAATAAGATCCCATTCATACATGTACCAGGCTTCACATTCACTGCTAAACAGAGTAATTTAGCCTAGTGGTATGAATGCAAAATCCGCTGTTCTGTAAAAGCTGGATCTGCTTAATCCACTTCAGAAGGAACATTTTGCAAACCTGGCTAATACAGCCTGGTATGAACAGGATCTAAGATGTTTTAACGTATTGTAAGTTTAACTTTAACCATTGGAATAAGTATTACAAAAATGTATGTACTATGTACTTTGTATATTAAGGCCACACCAATTTAATTTGTTATTTCTCGGATTTTCCCTGTCTAATTTCTTTTCTGATTTGAAAGAAAAAGCAGATTTTATGTACAGAATCAACTGCAAAATGCTAAATGAAAGATATTTTGTCCCCAACGGTTGAAGAAAGTCCTTTTCAATGTTACAATGCAATTTCACTTCATGAAAAGCTCAAAATCTCTTGTTTTAATTATAAACCAGCCTGGTATGCTGACCTCATGGCTCATATTGTAACATTTCTGGTCTTCAGGGGGTGCCTTGGCCTGTTTTTTTTTTTTAATTTTTATTTCGCCCTGTCGCTTCATATTTCTTCGGAAAAAATCGAGAAACAACAAATTAAATTGGTGTGGCCTAAAGTGCTAGTAAAAGGAAGAAGTCTGGCAGATTGTATACATTTTAAGTTCAGTGTTAAGCGACGGTCACAACCCGCCGTACGTGCTTCTGCATGCTGTCTACGTGCAAAAACGTGGGCAATCGTACAGCATGCGTGGATGGTGAGTTCCACCTCCGTACGGAATCCTACGGATTTGGGAGCACGCAGACACGCCGTAGAACTTTAAGTGCATGTAATACTTTTTCTACGTGCGGTCTGCGGATTTACCACCCGTGCGTGCGAGTACTTGCGACGCGCGTGCCCCGTACAGCCTATGAGCGTGCAACGTACGGACTCCGTGAGTCTAACTTCACTATTCTCACGTGTACGGACAGCGCACGAAGCACGTGCGTGCCACGCACGGTGCTTGCGTCATCCGTGCTTACTCCTCACTTCCCAGTTGACCTGCTCAATGACCACGCACTTACAACGTGCGAGTGAGTAAGGAAACCGTGCGTACGCCGCACGTGTAGGTACGGCCTGTACGTGGCAACGTAGCAATCGCACAGAGATCGTGCGTTGTAAGCACGTACAACTCACTTACCACTTGCGCAACGTACGATGCACGCAACCGCTGACGGCCAGGCATGTCGTGCAGACCACGTACGTACACCTTGCGCAACCGTGCGAGTGACGTACTCCCTCGGCCGGCCACCCTACGTTTGCAGAAAAAACGTAGCAGACGTAGCCACGACAAAAACGTACGGACAAAAAGCATGCACGGCGAGTTGTGACCGTCGCTTTAGGAGGTCAAACTTGTTGTTTCCATTTTCTGCAGGCCCAACAAGCTCGTGAAGTTACAGACTTCAGTC